GAGGGCACTAGCGACCCTTGGCGCTTCCTCCGAGCCCTGTTTCGCGCGGATCCCCCTTCCCGGGGGCTGGCAGTGAAGTGTGTGGTTGCCTGCATCGAAATACGGTAACTCGTGCGGTCGCCTGCACCAAATTACGGTAATTTAGCAACACAGTGACGTGACCGAAGCTGGGCCGGAACCTTTGGCTGAGTATTGTAGCTCTGAGCAGAGGTCATTCCCCGAGCGAGTCTGAAGTCTAGTGGGAGGCAGGGTTGATGGGCACGTTAGACTCCCCAGAGTAGGTAGGTACGTAGGCAACACAAGCTTCCACAAGCTGAAGCTCGCTTCATCAGATGCTGTGAAAGGAGGTGCATAAATCCACCCTGCTAGACACAGACCCTCCTGTCCTGTGTCTAGAGGCGGGGCAGGAGGGCCTCCATCAACCCTTGGCACTTCCTGCAACCACCGAGGCCCCTGCAACACTGCCCCTGGGCTCCACAGAGCACACAGGCAGGAGCCAAGCTCTGCACCCCACTTGGGGGGTGTTTAAGGTTGGAAGCTAGAGGTATCTGTAGAAGGCTTGGTATTCTTTGGCAGTCATTGCTCGTGGAACAGACCACATCAAGGTATAAAGAGCAGGGAAGGGTGCGATCACTGCGTTACATAGTCCCTTAGGATAATAAAGTAGGATGGTTTCTGCCATGGTTTGCACTCCGAGCAGTATGTCAAACCCTTTTCAGTAACCCCTTACTTGAAGTAAAATCTTATTATCAAAGAGTAAGATTGTGTCAGTCTTAAGACTTAGTATAACTAATGTATTTGTATGGTGTAGTTCAAGACACTGATGAAGACTATTTGATCTGAAAGGGTAAAGAGCAGAGATGAAATGAATTAAAAAAAAAAATCTCATGTGAATGAAAGTCATAGCATGTTAGTTAACAAATACTGCCTTAGAAATCAAGAAGCAATTGGTATCTTTTTTGTTAGTTGTGTATTTTGGCACCAAATGGATAATTTAGCTCAAAGAAGTGAAAAATTTGCCCCAGGTCAAGAATCAAATCTGAAAACTGGGGCTAGAATCCATATTTCCTGAATCCCCCTCCTAATTACTGAACCATGTTTCCCTTTTGTATGCCATGACAGTTTGAGGTGATGATTAATGCTTGCTTATTTCACTGAGAATCAAAGGTTCTCAGTAATTTGCAGGAAATGGTACTTAGGAGGACTGTTCTCTCTTACAGACACTCTAGGACAGTTTCTTATTGTACAATACTATACAATTATAGCTAAAAAGATTGGGGTCAACTGTGTTGCTTGATACCTACGTCATCAATTCAATTTTAGTGGATGCTGTTCTTCAAAGATCAAAGTCATAATGCCCAAAGCAGTTCTTGTGACCAAATGCCACTGTTGAACTGAGGAGAATGATGAACACTTCTAAATGCAGTCTTTTTTTAGGCCTTTTCAATATTTCAGTGAACAACCTTTCTTTCAAAGTAAGTCAGTGTGATCCACAGATTTTTTCTATTTAACTTCCCAATTTTTGTTGTATTGGAGTTCTGTACTTTTTTGTTTATCAAGCTTCTTCATCGGGATGGGTTACTGGCATTCTCCAACAAACGTAACACCTCCAACCCACTCACTCTTTGGAGCAAATTGTAAGTCCATGGCTGTGTTCCTGGCCTGTTTAAATCTTATTTTAGATCCTAAGCAATGTCTTGCCAGAAGAGACTTTTAAACAAAATGGGATATTGAGGGCTGTTCATGTGATAAAGTTGTGGAAGGCTTTATTTAGTTTCTTGTATCCAGAGCGTCACTGAAGCCCTTCAGCATTCTGCCCACATATGGTATATAGTTTTTCATTAATGCATTACTAAAATATTATTAGTTATTTTAATGATCCTTATTCTAAAGGATGTGGGAGTAACCATGTTCCTAATTTGGTAACTCCTTAACAAGCTTGGAAGGATGTTCTCTTGCTCTGGAACCAACTCATGGAATATAATAGGCACCTAGAACCTGTATGAAGACCAAAATTAAATTAATAATGCTCTTTGAACAAGAGTTTAGCGTGGTCATGATGGTAATACAGTCCAGATTGCAAAGACAAAAATAAATCAGTTTTTCCCCAGTATCTCTCACTACCACTGATAATGTTATGATTAAGAGTACTGATGTACTTTCAAAAACTACTTCCTGAAGAGGGATGGTCTTGTGGCCAAGTCACGGGGTTGATAGTCAGGAGGCTGATTTCTATTCTCAGCTCTTCCAAAGACTTCCTTTATGACTGTAGGCAGATTATTACGCATCTCTACCTCCAGCATGTCTATCTGTAAATTTTGGATTTAGCTTCATCAGTTAGCTTTCTGTGTTTTTCTCCAAATTTTGTAGATTTGTTAAAGACCACAGTAAACAACACATTTTTAAAATATTCTCTCCATATGCTGTTAGCACTTTAAAAAATTGAATTATCTGGTTCAGTCTTAACCATTTATGATATTTGCCTTGCATGCTTTTTCTTTATACTAGGTGTCTAGTTAGTTTAATTCCCTGTTTCTCAAATATGGGTCTTTTTTTTCTTCTTGTTTTGTTAGTTTACTACTGTGCAAGGAGAAGCTTATATTTAAAGCACTGTTTTCCTCTTTAAGGTAATGGGTTGTAGTCCATAAGACATTACCCGCTACCTTATATTTTGGCTTTAAAAGAGTATCAAACTTGTATAAGGTGCCCTAAACCAGTTATTATATGTTGCAATAACAGAAATATGGATGAAAATAGAACCCGAGTGATATTGTGGTAGTGCAGCCTCTGTAATGGAAAGTATTGTGTGAACCTTTTAAATTGGTGAGTCCTCTGTACAACTTCTGAAGTGTGACCTCACAGAGTTGAGTATGTTGGTTTACTCTAATTCCTATTTAAACTACTACTTCTCTTCCTGTCCCCCTCTCCTCCCCCCCCCCCCAA